GTGACTTCTTGATACCTTCGAATAACATGAAAATTACCTAATTAAAGCATGGAAACGTTCGTACTGGTTGATCTGCGCAACAGTCTAAGTCGCCATCTTTGTTTATATGAGACCCATATATCTCGCACATGCACAGCGCGACGACTACCGCGCTTTAATCTAAAACGCTGATATTGTCAAGTTTATATTGACCTGACAATGGAAACCAATTATTTTAATTCCCAAACCTGTCCATAATTAATAAGAGATTCACTATTATTATTGCTATTCTTATAATCGCCATCTTGAATAAAATGTTTTAACTAATTAACTTCTTACTAATTACTTCCCTACTTTTATTGAAAGTGAGTACTCTATATTTTGTTCTAAACAGTTGACTTTTACTACTTTCTTTTTGCCAATTTACTGGTAAACGAACTTATTATCTAAACGCATTTTCTCTCACGTGGTCGAAGTTAAGTGTACAACTGTCCTGCCATTATTTGATAATTTGTTTGTAAATTGGACATTTGTTTTAGCAGAACATCCTGGATTTTGACCAACGATTTCCAGATCGACGAGGTATATGTGAATGCACGAGCACACTACTAGGCCAAGCTCGCGACATGTGATGGAATGCTGCACTATAATGAGATTTACCAAGTACGATGATACAGGTGATTCGCCTTGTCATTCGTCCATCGTCCTTCTATACAAAAATAGTTATCAAACACACGTGCGCCATGAGAACCACTCTCCACATTGTGTTACAGAAACAAATCACACACACCTAAACTCGTCAAAGTAGCAGGAGAAATTTGTTCTGTTAACGGTGTAATAGTGAATTCGTCGGCGAGGGCGCTGTCACTTATTTCGGGCTTTATATGAGTATATGTCCCCATCCTCGTTCTGTTTGAGTACACTAATCATTGAAGATGCGAACTTGTGAGAATCTGGATAATGCGGAAACATACTCGTTCGAGAGTGTGTATGCGCATACACGAACTGATGAAGTGTCACTTGAGTCGAACCTCAGAGTGCGCTAAGGTGACGCTAAATGTGGCCTTTTTACCGCTTTATATCAAATGAATATTAATCTAAACAACAATATTATGAATAAGGTTATTATAAAAGCATCGCAAAGTATACACTCAAACAGTACGTTGTCGAATTGACCGTCATCTACTACCCAACCCCGCCCACCCTACGTGCAAACCACAACCCTATGATATTATATGTTTATTAAGGTAGAAGCCCAGTCATATTTTTTGACAAAATTGGTCATAAATGGCATGACAATGTTTATTAGTTTATTAGTACAATCATGAAGCTAATGTCTCATGGTGCAATGAAATAGCATTATTTTTTGTGTTACAGTTACGCTTTTTGAGAAACGTGTTTTAATATTTCTTGAAATTTGCTATTTTTAGAACAATTCCATAGTACACAGTGTTACAGAAAAATTCAGAACAACAAAAAGTAGTCCATCATAAACAATATATGATTTTATTCAGCCTATGTAACTAGGTTAGATTTTGAGATATTGCATAATATCTCTGCCATAGGAACATGTGGTAAAAGTGTTATAATAATGACAAAATGGTGACTTTCCAATACAACCATCCATTTCTCGAAAAAAAGGCTGGTGACCCAAAATTTCGTTAGGTCAATATTCTTATATTGTCTTGGAGTACAATTTATTGCAAAGTGAATAAATTCTTTTTTTTTTTAATTGATGAGTAGGCTTCTACCTTAACGTAACTAGAGGTAAAATTACAGTATGTAAATAATTGTCTCAACATTGATAATATAATAATGGTATTGATTGGTTTAATTAGCAGTCATATTTTTATTCCACATACACATTACAAATATCATATTTTTCTGAATAGTGTCAATGAGTAATACTTTATTTTAGCAATATGTCACACGAGAAATGAGCTTTATTAATAACTATGGCATCAGTCACCATCGGAATTAGTAATTAATATGGAGACATGTCTGTCCATCAGTTCCCATAACCAGGTGTGTCCAGTTTATGCTTCATTCATATAATTTTGTTACTATAATGTCTTGGAACATCATATTGGTTATTTTCGTCGCTTTCAGAATTCACGTTTGGGTTATTATGGTTATTGTGCGAAACAGGCACATCGTCAGAGGTTGCGCCATTGGTTTGGTCCTTGTCCTTACTATCGTCGACATCGTGCGTGGCTCGAGGAACGTCGTATTGGGGAGACATCGGGCATTTGTCTATTTGATCACTTCCCGCTTTCGCGTCGATTCCAATGTGGTCATATACTGGTGATGTTGGAATATCCTCGCTATCGTCGTCAGTGTTTTCATTCTGGCCGATTTTATCGTAGCTGCTGTCGCTTACGATCTGATTTCCAGGTAAATGTGACATCTTTTTCAAGCGATCGAGTTTGTCGTAAGCTTCAGTCTTGTCTTCCTCATCAGTTCCTAGGTGGGCATATTCTGTTTGTGGACCGCCTTCATTTTTGTACGACCTGCCCGTCCTATCAACGGTGTTATACATATTATCTTTGTCGTTAATTTTTGAATATTCACCGCTAGAAGGTTTTCGGTCGCTGATAACTGCGTACGACGGTAGAGGGCGTGGTGATTTGTACCAGTCCTCCCCGTCTCCAGCAAACCTCGTTTTGACTGACCTTGGCGTGTTGTCCTGACTACCTCCCATAGCCATGTAACCTTCCGGTTGCCCAGAAACGGAGTTGCCCACTAGGGAAACATCACTAGTTGAAATGGTATTCTGTCTCGAGCTGGGGATATCGTAACGAGGCTCATCTGTACCAGTGTCACGTGCTTCCCAAGCCGAGGGTAAAGTACTATCATTAGTTTCTGGCAATGAATCTGTTGACCCCACATTTCTGTCTTTGATCGAACGCGGCATCTGGTATCGTTGTTTCATTTCTGTATAAGGGTTGTCTGTTTCATCTATGTCCTCGTTCCCGGGATTAGATTTCACATTCCTGCTCGGTTGTGCGTATATTTCACATTTCAAATTGTTTTTCTCGCCGCCATTGTCATTCAGTTCATAGGTCGGATTTGAGTGACTGAAATTCACTTCGGAGTAACTGTTTTCTTGATCTACATCTTGATAAACTAGACCTGTAAGAGAAATACATATTTTTTTCTCAAAATCAATAACATGGAATGAACCTATGTATATAAAATTTAAAGAGTCAGGACTAACCTTCGATACAAGTGTAGCTCGATCAAAATAAATATATCTCAATCTGAACATTTTTGTTTGTTTTGTTTTTTTGGAGAGTAGTATAAGTAAGTTTAAGTAACAGTTTAAATGGCGGATAGTCTTGATCATTGAGCATGCATAATGTGTTCGTGGTAAATGCAAACACATACATATTGTATTAACTTTAACGTACATCTTCACTCAGTAACACAATAAGTAAACCTGATCTGGCCTTTGCACCTAGAGTCTTGCTCTGTCGTCACTACATGTGATACCACTGTATGAGCACAGAGAACTCCACGGTAAAGAACGCTTGGTATACTTTACCTTTTTCTTGTATATGTCGCGGTTCTGTCATCTCTAGTCCACCCGCTGCTTCGTCCACGTGTCTGTGAAATTAAATACAGATATTTGTTGTTGTTTTTTGCCGTCTGGAAAAAACTTTATCCGCTGAGACATCGTCTCAAACGTTTTCTATGAATGTGGTTTAGTGTATGCTTATGTTGATTCCGAGTCTATAAATAGACTCGTAATTAAATTCTGATGTTAGCCATGACTTTGTTAAATTATTTTATTACAGGTTTTTTGCGACATATGTGCATAGCACACTTACAGACTTGTAGGTTTCCTAGTTCGGCGTCGATAGATAAAAACGATGCAAACAATACTTCCACCTATGAGGATGACAATCACTATGGCGAGGATAACAAACCCAGCCAAAACTCCGGCGCTTCCTGTTTCTGAGATCAAAGGCGATTTGGTAGCAAGTATGGAGTAGCTTGCTGGATTCGTAGAAAGCGATGACTCTACACTTGATATTAATTCTACGTTGATTGACTGGGTACCACTTATTGTAGAGGTTGTGGGTATCGCTGAAAAAAGAAAACACACCATAAGATATAGATTATCACAGTCTTATTGGGACTGGCCCTTAGAAGATCTTACACAAGGCATGCAAAGTTATTGTTTTCTTCGACTAGTTTTGACCTGGATTTTTCCAGGATAATTATGTTGCTGTGAAGTGGTTTCATTCCTTTGTCAATTTATTTCAGATAATCGTAAGCTAATATCAAGACGAGAAGAACTTTAACCACAACAGTTTGCAAACAGTTTAACGATCGAAGTCAAGCTACATATTGAATAAAATGAACGTGGGATATCTATAAATGTCTATACGTATGTGTCACGTGATTTGCGACTACCAATTAACACCCCCAAAAGCTGACAGCGTTACATGACTACCGGCCTTCACGGAGAGGTTTTGATCAGAACAATGCGCACCTGATGTAATGTTACAGCGCCCTCCAGTCCATCCAGTTTTGCACATACATACACCATCAATACTGCGGCACTCATTGGTATTTTCATACACGCATGCGCAGATTTTAAGGCAATCATCACCATAGAAACCGTGTTCACATGCTAAATAGACACAGAGAAGAAGAAGATTCTAAGGTATGAAAGATGGGAAGGAACAATAGCACTTGGCGAAGACAAACAGTAGACAGCGAAGGGTGGTTACTGAGATACAAAGATTAAATTTTAATACAGTCGGACGTTTACACAGTACAAGAAATTATATCTGAGTAATTTATTGTCAGCTAATCAACTAGAACCCCCAGACAATCAAGTAATGACAGGTTTATGTTATTGAGCGGCAAGCTACGACAAGCACCGCTGGTAAAACAAATACTGACCTGTGCAATGAATGCATTGCTGTAGTATATTCTTGGTATATGAAACATGCTTTCAATAATAAATAACAGTTGATTCAAGTTCAATTACGCCGAAATACAGTATTTTTTAGGTAGTCTAATGCTTTTAATATATGATATATGTATTATTATATGATGACGTTCATTCATTATTTTAGCTGTATCTTATAAACAACTTCTCCGGGGCGCTGCACCGCGCAAGAGAAAATTAGAAACCAGCAAACTTACTTTCATTGCATGTGATGCCCGTCCAGCCAGGTTTGCATAAACATTCCCTGTTACATGCATATGTATTATTTGACACACATTTCTCGTCACATGGTGGCGCAAAGTCCGGGCAATCTGTGGGAACATCTGACAGACAGACAAATACATGCAAGTCAGAGCATTAAAATAAAGCAGAGTTATATATGGCTTTAGCAATATTGAGGTCGATGACCTCAACAACAACAGCAGCCGTGTACGCAGTTGGTTCACGACCTGCGTTGTTTAATTGTACCACGCATGTACACAGTTCAGGGCACGCACGCGACTATATATAGTGAACAAAATGGCGTTGTATTTGACGTAATCGGAAAAAAGTTGCCATGTGATATTTAGACCCGCCAATGACATACAAGTATTGATAAACAATTGTAAATGTTGCGTACATGCAACGAATTTAACGAAGCGGAGTGTTTTATTATTACATACGCACTTTCATTACAAGTATTCATAAATATATATATAAATATATATTCAAATATATATTATTACATATATATATATATCTGTTTAATTCATTTAGAAGATTTCTCTCATTAGTAAATCGCGCCCTCACTCAACAATATTTATAATGAGTGGTTGGTCAAAAATTTTGATGAGTCAGGTGCATCTATTGGCTAAGCTTGTTGTACATAGATGCAAATGAGTATAGGAACCATTATAGTTAGAAGGAGGGTTGGTTGGTCAAAAGTTTGATGAGTCAGGTGCATCTATTGGCAAAGCTTGTTGTACATAGATGCAAATGAGTGTAGGAACCATTAATGCTGTAGAGTGTACTGGGAGGGGTGGAGGATTTCATGTTTGTAATGACTGGTTGTAATGCGGTATCTCGTTGTTTTCAAGATGCAGGCTGATATTTGTTGCTTTCTTGGTTGTTCAATTGTGGCTAAAATTTGTGTGGTGGGTGGAAGATGTGTTTATTGTTTGTTGAGTCATTATTTAGACACCCTGCAGCTTGAAATGGTATGGTCCACATCCAAATTCGATATGGCAGTGTTGAATATCTGTGCGATATGGCAGTGTCGTCTAAAAAACACGCATCAAAATGATTTCTGTTTCTTTATTTACTGTTGTAGATCCTGAAAACTAGCCATTGAATATGATGTCGGGAATAAATGGTTTTCTGAACAAGCTTTATTAATTATTGCTGGCAATATTCCAGTATGAATTGGGAGCAAACTATGACACCAAATCTAGTCGTTGTATTGTTATGCTTCTAAAATATATTTTTTTTTTAAATAAAATAAAATAAATAGAAATATTATGTGTATTTTTGTATGTGGAAACATGGCTGGCCCACTCAAAAATATAAAGAAGTGTGGTCTGCAGTTCTTTTTTTTAAATTTTTTTATTTGTGAAAAAAACTGGTATTTTACAGAGTGTAAACAATAAAACACTCACAGTGCAAGGCTAGTTGACCAACATGTCTATTATCTTGCTTGAGTGTGAAAGTACATGGTTTAGTGACTAGCTCTTATATTTTTATATTTTATATTTTCTTTTATTGGGAAGGTTCGTCTATTAAAATAGAACAGATGTAATGAATTAATTTTAATATTTTATTTTAATTTCAGAACTAAAGCAAATTCACTACCTGAGACGTATATCGTACATGTATTCACAGCGCCGAGGCTACAACATCTCTAGGAACAAGTTATAAGTCATGCCATAATATGTTTACAGGTGAGTGAATTGTGTACGTTCTCTAATTATAGCATAACTAGATACTCACTGCTTGTAATATTATGTAATGAATTATTTTTCATATTTTATATTAATTTCAGAACAAAAGCAAATTCAATATATGATACGTATATCGTAGATGTATTCACTGCGCCTAGGCTACAAAATCTATAGGAACAACTCAAAAGTCATCCCATAGTATGTTTTCAGGTGAGTGAATTGTATACCTTCTCTAATTAAAGCATAACTAAATACTCACTGCTGGTAATATTAAAGAATTAATTTTAATATTTTATTGTAATTTCAGAACTAAATCTCAGTCACTACTTATAAAATCATATATCGCACAACTATTCACTGCGCCTAGGCTACAAAATCTATAGGAACAAGTCAAAAGTCATCCCATAGTATGTTTTCAGGTGAGTGAATTGTATACCTTCTCCAATTAAAGCATAACTAGATACTCACTGCTTGTAAGCTTATGTAATGAATTATTTTTAATATTTTATTTTAATTTCAGAACTAAAGCAAATTTAATATCTGAGACGTATATCGTAGATGTATTCACTGCGCCTAGGCTACAAAATCTATAGGAACAAGTTAAAAGTCATCCCATATTATGTTTACAGGTGAGTGAGTTGTGTACCTTCTCTAATTAAAGCATAACTAGATACTCACTGCTGGTAATATTAATGAATTAATTTTAATAATTTAATTTAATTTATTTTCAGAACTAAATCTCAATAACTACTTAATAAATCATATATCGCACAACTATTCACTGCGCCTAGGCTACAAAATCTATAGGAACAAGTTAAAGTCATGCCATAGTATGTTTACAGGTGAGTGAATTGTATACCTTCTCTAATTAAAGCATAACTAGATACTCACTGCTTGTAATATTAGATCTGTTTAATTCATTTAAAAGATTCCTCTTATTAGTAAATAGCGCCCTCACTCAACAATATTTAGAATAAGTGGTTGGTCAAAAGTTTGATGAGTCAGGTGCATCTATTGGCTAAGCTTGTTGTACAAGATGCAAATGAGTATAGGAACCATTAATGCTGTAGGGTGTACTGGGAGGGGTGGAGGATTTCATGTTTGTAATGACTGGTTGTAATGCGGTTGTAATTGGGAGCAAACTGTGACACCAAATCTAGTCGTTGTACTGTTATGCTTCTAAAATATTTTTTTTTTAAATAAAATAAATTAAATAGAAATATTATGTGTATTTTTGTATGTGGAAACATGACGAGATCCATCTATATATCTTGTTTAAAGTAAACATTTTAAGTTTGAATTATTTTACTTTCTAATTTGTTTTGGATGACATGAATGTAACAATCAAGCAAACATAGAAATAACTTTCTTGTGCTAAAGGCATGGGAGACACGAATTACAAATAAGAATTACAGTATATATTAGAAGCACATATTCAATTCACAAAGCAAAAATTGTATTTCTTGCATAGAAAATCATTTAAAAATGTCATATTTTGTCTTTGTCTGCAATATTAGAGTTATGCATATTAATTAGGCCACATGACCATATATGGACATGTAGTATATCATTCATATATTTCCTGTCCACTGCCTTTATCATTGCAATGGTTGCATGTCTTCATGTGCTTACAGAGTCTTTTTAGTACAATAAAATATTACTTAATATATTTATACCAGCCATAAAAAAATGCAGTTCACACTGCGATATTTTACACATGCTCTACTAAAGCCTAGGATGAATTCATTTTTTTGTGGACAAAATAAGAGAAAATTTAGCTTGACAGTCTTTCTGAATGGGTTAAGTCAATTAGATCCTTGATACTGAAAAACATTATGTTAGTATTTAAAGACTCTAATGCGCTGAAATGTTTGTCTTCTCTTCATGACAGGTATGTTGTTGTTCCTGCAGATAAAGCTTCTAGCAACATTGTTTTTATCTGTAAGTCGTATTACTACACAAGGCTTATTCAGGAACTGGTAATCCTACTTACTTTTACATAAGAAGAAATCCAGTCTTTCATGGTTTCTTTTAAAATACCAGCCAGAGTTCAGAATGATGACTTGCCCCGCTGGTATTGGATACCAAAACTACACAAAACACCATACAAGGAAAGATTCATTGCCGGTTCTTCTAATTGTTCAACTAAAGAATTGTCTGAAACATTAACAACAATACTGTATGCCATTAAAGAAGGAATTCAAAAGTACTGTGACACTGTCTTCTCCAGGAGTGGCGTAAATCACATGTGGATATTGCACAATTCTAAGGAACTTTTGGAAAAACTCAAATCTAGATCTTTATCTGAAATAAAGTCTATTAAAACATTCGACTTTTCCACGTTATATACTACAATACCACATGGTAAATTGAAATAACGATTGATAGATATTGTTCATCAAGCATTTTTTCATGAGATATAAATATATTGTTCTAAACTACAATTCCACTTATTTCGTCAAGAATGAAACTAATGCAACCACTTTTTACAGTGAAGAAGACATTGTCCTCATGCTTGAATTTTTGATAGATAATATATTTGTTAAGTTTGGAGGACATATATTTCAACAAATTATCGGTATTCCAATGGAAACCAACTGTGCTCCCTTGCCGACTTGTTTTTATTCTCGTATGAGAACGAGTTTCTTCAGAAACTTGTTACAAACAAAAAAATTTAAAGAAGCTAAATCTTTTAATTTTACATTTAGATAGATTGATGATGTCCTTCATCAACAATCCTAACTTTAGTGATTCTCTCACTTTGATATATTCCACAGAACTATACATCAGAATCAGCTTACTCAGCCTCATATATTGACATTTACTTTGAATTTGACAACAGTAGTCATCTTTCTACCAGACTTAATGATAAAAGAAATAATTTCAATTTCACTATCATCAATTTTCCAAACCTTAACAGCAATATACCTGTTTCCCCCACTTGTGGCGTTTACATATCTCAGCGTATCCGTTATGGCAGAGCATGTAGTATGTATTCTGATTTTTTACAACGACATCGTCTTCTCTGTTTTAAACTATTAAATCAAGGGTTTATAAGACCAAGACTTATCTTGTCATTTAAAAAGTTCTATGGCAAGTATCATCAGCTGGTGGACAAGTACCATGTTTCTATGAAACAGATGGTAATAGAAGCTTTGCACGAGGATGGCCTAAAATTCACAGTTGTGACTCAGAGAGATATATGGCGGGTGCCGAAACACCTGACATCATCTCTTGGTTTGTGCCTTGATTTCCATGTATCTCTCTCACCGATTTGACAGTTTGTTGTTTGTTTTGTTTGTGTGTCCCCCGTGTGTTCTCGGATTTGTAAATATTGCCTTTTGACATTGATTGTTCGGATTATAGTTGGGTATTGTTGCTTGGATTTACTATTGTCTATGATTTCC